CAAAATTACTAATACTTTAAAATGATTTTTGCAGTAAGAACAGCCAGAACCCAAACAGTAACCTGGTCCAATTGCAGGTTCAATTAATGCTGTAGCTTCCCTGGAGATGCGTGGGTTAGTGATGCTGACATTTTCTCATATCATTTTGTTTCCCCCATTACAAAAAAAGCACTGAAACTGAAATTGAAGGGAGATAATAATTTGTAGGCTAAAAAGTAGAATACATGTGCATAAACAAGCAAGGATTCGAAATATAACTGGGACAATTCATATATTTATGAATATTCTGTTTCACTCTGAAATATGTTAAATTCTTAGTCAATTTGGTAACATTTAAAAATAATTAACTAAAATAATAAAAATGACAAAAACTACACAACAAAATTACTAATACTTTAAAATGAGAACAGAAAATATAAAAATAAAATCTAATTAAAAAATATTGACAAAAATCTATAACTGTATATGACACTAAAATAACACTGTTACAGAGTCTCTTCTCCAGTTGACTGTGTCCTTCCTATTGCTAAATGGGAGCCGAAGGATTACCCAGAAGACTTGGATGAAGTAGATCCACTTGTAGAACATGTATATGTGGTAATATGCTCAGTCTAGGATTACTGTTAACAAGTTCACTTAATCGGTTTTGCAATACTTATGCACAGGTTTCTATTCTCCTGTCTCAGCTAAGGAACATGGGCCCCAGTCCAGTCAACGCAAAGCTTATACTGGAGTTTCCTGTTTCACAAAATGAGTCCTATCTGCTGTATGTGTTTGCTAATGCCTCTGAAGAGCTCATCTCCTGATAAACAGTCTATTCCAACATCGACCCACGTGGGGTGAGAGTGCCCCCTACTGACCATCATTTCTACATTAAACTCACTGAATGAGTCATTTGTCTGCAAATATAATCTTAACACACATTATACTATTGAAGAATGCACACCAATATCTGTAAACACTGGCTCTAACAACAATGTGTGGTGGTACTGTAGTACAGTGTTACCATTTATTTTAATACCATACTATATAATAATTGATGATACTGAATGACTACCGTAATCATAATGATTGGTATTTATATGTCACTCCAAGATACTTCCTTATAACTATGGTACCATGTGCAAAAAATCATGGTATATTTTTGTAAGTATAATACAGTTTATTCAATGGCAATAACTGCTATCTTACCTATTTATCTTGGTCCACAGTTAGTAAAGCTGGAGTCCTCCAACACCCATTTTCATAATTTCAACAAACGTGACCTGTCGCAAAAAACAGAATATGAGCAGCAATGGCAAAATACTGTCCATGTAGTACGGTTTGGAGTAATTAAGCTTTGTTTATGTTTTTGATAGAAGTTTCTCATGCTCACCAAGGCTGAATTTATTTGATCAAAAACACAGTAAAAAACAGTAATATTATGAAATATTATTGCAATTTAAAATAACTGCTCTCTATTTTGGTATATTTTAAATTGTAACTTATTCCTGTGATGGCAAAGCTGAATTTTCAGCAATCATTATTGCAGTCTTCAGTGTCACATGATCCTTCAGAAATCATTGCAATATACTGATTTAGTTCTCAATTAACATTTCTTATTTTTATCAATGTCAAAAACAGCTGCTTAATATTTTTGTAGAAACTGTAATACTTTTTCCACGTTTCTTTGATGAATAGTATTTATTTATACAATATTTTGTATTTTGTAACAATGTAAAATACTAATAATAATAAAATTTGCTGTCATTTTCTGGTTTTATTTTATTTGATTTATTTTACAGTAATGTTGTGATTCTTCTTTGCCAGTAGAGGGTGATATCACAGTTTGGCCCCTCTTGTTAACAGTATAGCTGCTTATTCATTGAAATTTTGATAATTCCACAATTTAAGCACATAGTGTGTACAAATGCCTCCAACTTTCAGGCTTCATAAAACTATATTCCAATGCATTTATTGTTACATCTTGTTATATATCTCACTGTGCAGAACTGCTCTAGTGGTGACCATTGTCTTTGGTTCGAGTGTGAGGCTGCGGGACTGCAGAGAGATGAGAGGGCCATAGTAAGAGTGATGAGCAGACTGTGGGTACAAACCTTCTTTAAGGTGGGCAAAACTTTAAAGATCAAACCCTAGACATTTAATAAAGTCATCTTATATTCATATAGCCCTTTCTCTCTCTCTCTCTCTCTTTGTATCTCCATTCACCGCTCAGAGACCATACGTAAATTTCGTTCTTCACTCCATGGCTCACTATGAGGTGGCAGATGTGCCCTCAAAAATCAAGCCAGATGTGCTGCCCAGAGGAAAAGCAGAGGTGAGACATCAGTTCTTTGGTTTGTATCATGAATTGTATGCAGCTCCTCATTAAAACTCCTTGTAAATCTATCTAGACATATACAAATATAGTATGGAGACGCCCAGATGGACAAGAGGAGGTACCTGTGTGGTGGATAGTAGTGTCAGTCATTGCTGGACTGGTTCTACTGACTGCACTGAGCACCATCTTCTGGAAGGTACTTGTATATGTTGAACAGCAGAGGGCGCTTTCTCCCATACATGTCTCCTGGCTAACAACAAACAAAGCATATTACTGTATGTGTATACTTACCACATAAATCTGTATCCATGTTAACATACAACACTGTATGTTTTAAGGTGGGTTTTTTTCAAACGTAACCGTCCTCCATGTGACGATGATGGTGATGAGGTGCAGCAACTGAATGGAGAACCTAACGAGACATCTTGATGGGACATCACAAATCTTGAGCTTTATGATGCTTTAAGGTTTTTTAAAAGTTTGTTTGCTAATTTTATTCTATTCTTCCTGTAATTGTATTAAATATGACTCGTGGTTATAGAGATGCAAGCATTAGTTGACCAGCCCAGCATTTTGGGATAATTTGAATGAAGTCTCTTAAAGGCACAATATGTAATTTTGGCCGCTAGAGGGCGCGTATTCAAAATAAACAAATAGACAAAGGTGTAGTTTGATGACGCCGTGACTGAGTGTGGAATCATGGGAGTTGTCGTCTTCATCCCCACAGCCGATGCAATCCGACGGGACTCGGGCAGAAATCATGTTCATGAGCTAATGATTTATCAATGTAGTAGAATAAAGCAGGGTGAGGCTGAAAGCCGTCGAAGCGAAACGAACAATCTTACATATTGTGCCTTTAAGCTCACCAAGGCTACATTTATTTGAACTTAAATACTGTAAAAACAGTGACAAATTACTAAAAAGAACTGTTTTGTATTTTAATATATTTTCAAATGTAATTTATTCCTGTGATGGCAAAGCTGAATTTTCATCATCATTACTCCAGTCTTCAGTGTCACTTGATCTTTCAGAAATCCTTCTGATATGCTATATTCAGGCATAAACAGAAGTAGGGACACTGATACTCATGGCTTGAATTTCAATTTATGTTAAGGAAATGTAGATAAATATGTAGATAAATGAGCATCGTCTCCAACCCACTGCCCTTGTAAGTAACATTCTCAGCATTTCAGATGGTTGATGATCCATTTTGATTATCAGTCGTAATGAGATCATCGAGCTGTAGAACAGACATTGAACATTGAGCCTTATTCATAAACCATTGTTACGTAAGTTGTCACATTCATTCATTTCATCTAACTTATGAACAATTTGCACCGAAATTCATTATGCATGTTTTGTTGTTGTTGTTTTTGTTTTAATTTTCATTCATTAAAATGTCTTGTCTGCACTGAAGTGTGTAATTGCAATTCTTTGGGTTTAAGTAAGAAATTAGACCAAAAAAAACAAAAAAAAGTGAACGGTGTATGGATAAGAATCACATAATTTAAAATTATTATCATAAAACTATGGTATGTGGCTCTTAGAAGTGCACTCAGTAGTTTACATTTAGCTGAAGCCTTACTTGTCTGCAGTCTTTGCCTTATGTGAATCATTTTAATCATATTTCTCAAACGTGCTGTTCATTTATTGGTGTAAAGCTTCATTAATTAGCAAATTGTTTTCTTTTTCTTTTTAGTTTAGCCTTAAAGGAGTAGTTTAACAAAAAATTGAAAATTTACTGAAAATTTTACATTTTACATTTGTAAATGAGTTTGTTTCTTTATTGGAACAGATTTGAAGAAATTCAGCATTACATCGCTTGCTCATCAATGGATCCTCTGCAGTGAATGGGTGCCATCAGAATGAGAGTCCAAACAGCTGATAAAAACATCATAATAATCCACAAATAATCCACAAGGCTCCAGTCCATCAATTAGTATCATGTGAAGTGAAAAACTGCATGTCTGTAATAAACAACTCCATCATTAAGGCATTTTAACTGTAAACCATTGCTTCCAGCTGAAATATGACTCCTCTATCCATAATATTACTTTCTCAAGTGAAAAAGTTGTTTTGTCTGAATCAGGAGAGAAATATGCTCAAATCAAGCACTGTGTTTACAAACAAAAACAGTCAGAAACAGTTCTAAACAAATATGTCAGAGAATTTTGATGTGAGAGGATAACGGAATGGACTTTTTCACTGGAGGAAGCAATATTATGTATTATGGATTCATATTTTGTCCATTAAGTTAAAATGCCTTAATGATTGATTTGTTTCTTACAAACACGCAGCTTTTTTACCTTCACAAGACATAACTGATGGACTTGAGTTGTGTGGATTACTTGTGATGTTTTTATCAGCTGTTCTGTTTTTATCATTCTGACGGCACCCATTCACTGCAGAGGATCCATTGGTGAGCAAGTGATGTGATGCTACATTTCTGCAAATCTGTTCTGATTAAGAAACAAACTCATCTATATCTTGGATGGCCGGGGGGTGAGGAAATTTTCAGCAAATTTTCTTGTCTTGGTTAACTATTCCTTTAATCAATAAAACGCTGGAAACGGCTTTCAAATGGTCCAAACGTAAAAAATGCTAATGAGCCTCGGCCGACAGAGGGCGCATGGGAGCACTGCACTCCAAAATCTCCTCCTCCCATCTGGGACAACAGGACTGAAAGAAGCGGAGCAGTCGTACTCGGGAAGGGAGTGGGCACCCGTGGCAACCGCACTTTGGAGCAGTCAGTCTTGTGCCATCCCGCAGCGAAACATGGATGAACTGCTACTTACGGAGGATCTGACGATGCCGCTGTAAGAATGCGTCCACCGCACACCTCCCGCTCTTTTTTTCTTTTTATTGTCCTCTGTAGTGCTTGGAGGACGCTGGCGAAATCACTGCCGACCCCAGGACCAGTTGGTGAGTTTGATTTGAGATTGTAGCATCCGTCTTTGAATGTGATGTTTGTGTAGCGCGGCTCCGCCGTGGAGAACGGAACATCGACTCGCGGCTTTATTATGTAACTGCCGCATTTGCGCCCACGGCAGTTTATCACGCGCCGTTGCTTTTGGGCACATTTACTTTAGTGACTTTTGGGAGTTACAGTTTGGAAACAAAGGATTTCAAACTGTTCGGCTCCTCAGATGACCCCACTGTAAAGCGAAGAAGTTAGTTAAACGGGTCCCGAGCTTCAGAATAACAGTTGTATGTGGCAATTGTTTCATTCCTAGCTTGATTTAAGAGTGCACGTTATTTTATGACTAACTACAGGCTAGTAAAGCTAGTGTCGTTTTTAAGCCCACCCACACTGTTATTTTCATAAAAAAATAAAGAAGTTCACTGAGAGGTACATTGTTATCGGTGTCTTTAACCTCGGTCGTTCATTATTTGTATGAATATGTATTTATTATAAAAGTATATATAGGGGAGACCGGTGGAAGTTGTCTCACTTTTTTGCCAGTAAATATTTCTCAGGGTAAGTTTATATTTGAAAGTTTGATTAGGCATTATATTAAAGTCTTTGCTAAAGCTATATATA